CAGGGCAGGAGCCCCAGCTGGCAGGACCCAGTCCCCAGAGCCCAGAGCAGGACAGCCAGGACAGGTCTGGGGATGGCAGTCAGGGTCAGACAAGATCATCGGGGAGGTCACGACGATGAGACAGGTCAAAGCTGAGGGAGGAATGCTGGTCTGGGTCAGGATCAGCCCTGGTGCCTGCCCAGCCCTACACTTAAACAGGGCAGAGGGTGTGAGAGGAGGCACAAGTTCAGGCTGGCCAGGGACATTAAGGCCCCTTAGTTTACTCATGGCCCTGACTGCAGTGTCCCTCTCACACCCTTCCAAGATCCAGGTCCAGAATGGACATGCTGCAGAGTGATTTAACTGCTATGGAATGCCACAGGGCAACTTCCCAGGGGAAAGAGCCAGGCAAGGGATAAGAATCTGGGAAATGAGCATGGCATACTGTTGATCAGGTCGCCCATGAGGAGCATTGGAGGTTCAGTGGGCTTGAAAATAAAGGTTCAGGCCACCCCTGGGGAGCACCAGTGGCTGGGAATCTGGGAGGGCAGGCTCAGAATCCTGGGGGCAGCACCAAGGGCCAGGCTGGTCCTTCAGAAGGGACCATAGACCCTGCTCAGGGCTGGGCCCATCTCCACGGCGTTCACCTGAGTGCTCAAGAAAGACCAAGACAGCTTTCAGGAAGCAGCAATTTCCAGCTGCTTTCTGAGGGATGGGGAGACAGCAGATGAGTGCCTGCTCAGCAAGGCTGACAGGGCAGGGGCTCTACCAGCCAGGACCCAGCCCCCACAGCTCCTGAGCAAGGCAAGAAAGGCAGGCTTGGGGATGGTAGGTAGTTTATAGGTAGGATAAGGTAGCTCTGTCCAGCATACAGATCATCAGGTAAGTCCATTGTAAGGAGAGAGGCTTAAAGCCAACCCAGGAATGAAAGTCAGCGAGCCAGGGCCAGGATCAGATAGAATGAGAGAAACCAGGGTCAGACACACCCGTGGCTGCCAGGCGGGTCCATAGTGATAAGCCATATTCAAGGTCAAACTACAATTTGTAGGTCATGATCCAGAATAACAGGATCGTGGCCAGGCACAGCTGTGATGGAGCTGGAGTTGGAGATGGGTGTACCTGCAACAGAGAGTGGAGACCCAGGCCTGAGCTTCAGTGAAGCTCCTGGAGCCATGGGCAGAGGCTCCAGCTGAGACTGCTATAGGCCAGTGAAGCCTATTACTGCAGACATGGCCCTGAAGAGATAAAAGAAATAATCTGGGGTGACTCTTACAATGGCACAGTACAGGAAAGGAGAAAAAGAAGATGGCACAAAGGAAGTGAGAAGAAAGAGATTTCTGAAAACAAAAGGTTTCAAAAAGGCTTTTTCAGGCAAGAATTCTCTTATTCATCTAAGTAAAGCACTTATATGAATATTTCATTGCATTCTGTACCTTTGCCACTCTGGTTGCAGTCTTTGTCATGCCACTTCTCCTACTATTACTTGATGGGATGCAGTCTCAGAGTAACCTTCTTTGTCCAGAAATGGGTGGTTTCCCAAAACGGAGCCATAAGGAAGCAGGTACTTTGTTCCAGGCCAAGCTTCCTCAGAGTGTCATAGAAGCAGAAAGCCAGAAATCCTCTAAAAATCTTAGTGGCAAGAGTTAGAACTTTCTGAGGACAAGATAAATTCTTAAACGATCTTACCTGCAGTAAGAAACAAGTGTTCCTAACACACAACTTCCTCTAAAATCAGACTGCTACTTGAGAGACCAATATCTAAAACAACTTGAGCTGCCCTGTGCCAGCTCAGTAATCACCACCCCTAGTTCCTGAAGAAAACTGCCTGGCTGTGCACTGGGGAAGGGAATGCTTCTGACCCTGAGCTGCTGTCTTTGGAGCTGTGGCTCACTTTAAGAGCCAGCACCTCGTCTGAAATGATCAGTTCCTCTCAAGCTGACAATAGGTCCCTCTTTAAAATATTTTTTTTTTAAAAAAAAGAAGAAAAAAGTAGAGCTTGTGGTATGCTGGCAGCTCAACTACTGTTTCCTGGTGAGTGAGCCATGCTTCTTTTTCCCCCCCCTGCCATCTCTTTGCTGTACTGGACACTTGTCTCCTGTTGGCCATGCAGCAGTGAAATTACAGGTCTGTGGGTGACAGACAGAGTTCCTCTGCCCCAAAAGGGGAAAGCAATCCTTGCATGTGAGCTGGCTGGGCTCATGGAAAGGGCTTTAAATGAGATTCAAAGGGGGGCAAAAATGGGCCTGCTAGAGCTGAGCCCAAAGGGGACAGGCTGTGGCTGGGAACACAGTCGTTGGCCCAGCTCAGGTGCATCCACACCAACGCACGCAGCGTGGGCAGCAGGCAGGAGGAGCTGGGAGCCACCCTGCAGCAGGACAGCCCTGACACAGTCACCAGCAGGGAAACGTGGTGGGATGGCTCTCCTGGGTGGAGGGCTGCTGTGATGGGTGGCTGTAAGCTCTGCAAAAGGAATCAGCAAGGCAGAAAGGGCAGAGGGGTGGCTTTCTGTGTTAGGGAGTGTTTTGATTGCATGGAGGTCAACCAGCAGAGTGAGAAGGATCCAAGTATGAATGAAGAGGACAAGAGGAAAACTGACATTATCCCCACCCACCTCCAATTACAGGCTGGGAGCAAATGGAGGAAACATTTGTGGCCTCGTCAACAGGAGAAGGAATGAAGGTGATCAACATGGTGCAGCACGAGGACTCCCCAAGGAATTCAGCAGTGATGAAGCTGACACTGGATCTGGTTCTTCTCCTGAACACTGGCAGCATGGTGCTCTTCTTCTTATGTGTGACATAAAGCATGAAATACTTTCTGTGGTCATGGAGGACAACAACTTGAAGATCTACCTGTGTTGTATGATCACCTACTAGGCAGCATGACTTCTCTTCAACAAGCACATCCCAGGGAACACTGAGGCCAATGGCAGGGACCTTGTTCATGTATTGAAAATGTTTCCTTCTCTCCTTGAGAAACACAAGAAATTGTCAGCCCAAGACTCATGTAATGCCAGACCATCCTTCTTGCACTTCCCCTATGTTCTTTCATCATAGTTAGTAATAAACAGCCATTGATTCAACCAACCAGCTTTAAAGGTGACCTTGTCTTTTAAACAGAATATGCATAAATTCTTAATACATTGTAGGAATAAGAAACAATTGCAAATTCCAGGGAAGTGTTCCCCCCATAGACTTAACAAGATAGATAAAAGAACAGTTGAAGACTCCTCAGAATGCAGACTTGTCAATGACTTCTGCTTTTTCTATCCATGGTAAACAAGGAAGCTAAGTAGTCTCAGTACACTGAAACAACTTCTATATTAAACAGAAGGTTTAGTACAATGTTAATTGCTACTAGCATCTAAAAGAAAGATAATCAGGACATGGTGCTAGGACAAAACAGATTCAACGAGTGGAGGAAGAGTATACACTGTTTAAATGGTAAAGATAAGCTCAAGACCAATTTTGTTATTTGTTATGATGGGTAAATAAATTATTTCAAGGTATTATTATTTATTACTGTTGAAGTTCAGATAAGAACTTCAGTCATGCTGGGAACAGACAAATACAGAAAAAGGAAACAGGCTTGGTCATAAAGAATTTGCAATCAAAGTAATTTGTTTCTCTGAAGCAAATGCTTAATACTTTAGTTAATTAAAGAAAACAAAACCTGAACAGTCTGTTCTTGGAAAATATTTTGCTGCACTGGTCAGTACTTGGAAAGGATTAACACAGTTATTAGGATTTTCACAATTTTTACAATGCTTACATTCATAAGGGATGATTCCACTTATCATCACCTATTCCACAAATAATCCCCAAGCAGCCAAAATAGTGAGTAAAATAAAGATGCTCCCATAATCAAGAACAGTTGAAGAGTATGAAAAAGGTAGGATTATTTCATATACTTGTTAACTTGGGTAAGTTTTACAACATTGGTATATATTTTCTAAATTATCAGAACCTGAAATTGATGTTATTAGGGTGCTCTTGAGAATGTGCTTTAAGCACTTCTCCTGCTGCCCTAAAATACATTACTTCTTACTCTCTTTTTTTCCTCTAAAGTAGATTAGCACCGATAATTCAATTTCAAGTAGAAAGTAAAAATCTACAGAGCTCTGCTCCTCTGTTTGGATGGTAAATATTTAAAAATGTAGGGGTAAGAGAATGTTTTCTGATGAGAGAATCAGGTTCAGGATCCAGAGTTCTTGGAACTCTAATTGTTCAGTCTTCAGAGAGACCTCTAGAAACCCTCGTGACTGTCCCGTGTTCCACCCTCAGCCCTAAACAGAGACTCAAAAAGAGAGTCTTCCTGGAAAAGAAAGAAAGAAGAAAGATAATCTGTTCTCAGCTCCAAATCCTCCTCCCACCAACGGGGATTCTCTCCTCATTTCCCAGGAGTTTCACTGGTGGAACAGAGGCAGAACAGGGAAGGCTTCAGTAGCTTTCCTTATTCAGTGGCTCACGTGGCAGCCTGGCGGTGGGGCTGCCGTGTGGGGTAGTTCCTGTCTCCACTCACTGGCAGGGGGAAGGGATTCTTCCCTCTCCCATCACTTGCACGTGTGGTTTCTGTGACTCACCATCCCCCTAGGAATAAAGTCTTAGAGCTCCAGCTTACTGCCCTGTCCATTCAGGATGACTGTGGGGCTGGAGTACAGGGAATTGCACTGAGCAGAGGAACTAATATAACATAACAGTCCTCCTGGTTACAGCACCTCAGAACTTGCTGCCCACTAGAGACCAGCCAGTCACCTTGCTACCCTGGGACCTGTGAAACTCCAGGGTTTTCTCATCTGGACAGAGTGCTGAGAGGGGCAGGAGCAGATCCACTTCCCCTAGGAGCTCAGTACAAGACTTTTGCTACCACCAACTGCTAAGGAAAGGACAATGAGAAAAGGAAGGCAGAAGAGTGAGTAAGAGCATCACATCAGCCTCGGGGCCTTGAGAAGATGCTCATAGTTCCATGGGTCAGGCCTTCCTCTCCCTGGGGTCATCTCTCTCTCTCCTTTTCCACACATACTACCAGATGTGACATTTGTTGTCTGGGTTCATTGGGGATCCACTGGAACAATGGAAGTGCTTGGCAAAGTCCTGGCTGTTGCTGACAGACCCACAGACACGAAGTGGCAAGGGACTGTGTGGATCTGTGGCCAGTGAAGACTGTAGTTTCTCAGGATCCTGGTGTCCACACATTGCCTGAAAAAAAGCAGAACAGAGAAGTCAGTTTGGCTGGAAGTGCTCATGTGAACAAGGCTTCAGGCTCCTCACACCCCTGCACACATGACTGAGGCGGATGGAGCAAACAAGGAAACACACAAGTGCCAACAATGTTCACATCTTTCCCTTTGCCAACACAGGTTTTCACAGTTTTCCCTTTCCTTAAACTTCTCTGCCCTAATTTCCTTATCTGACAGGACATTTGCTCTTTTTCTATACTGCATAGTCCAAAACACAAGGAATTTAGACCACCTTGGAGTTTAGGCTCCTGGATCCTTGGACTCCATCTAAAGTAATGGTGCAGATCTAGTCTCAGTGTCTAGATTCAGCTTCTCAAACAAAAGCAATGAGGCCTCATCAAGAAAGGGGAGCATTGACACAACATCCCATCACTACCTGAGAGACTGGGGGAAGGTTATGTGAGTTTTCTGGTATCAAACTGGCAACCCAGGTATTCACTCTTGTGAATTCAGGCTTTATTCATTGACAAATAATGCAGCAGCTGCCAGGCAGCCTCTGAAATGCAAAGCTTGTCACCAAGACCAAACAATCTGATTTCAGAACTGCTTTTCTACACACTGCCCTGACTTAACATCAATACACACACAGAACCATTCCCCTTGCACAGTTCCAGAGCCTTCTGAGGGGGTGACTTTCCCAGAGCACAGAAATCCAGTGATCAGTCAGAAGGGTCTGAAACCTGCACAACTCTGTGTGCACAATTGGACAACTTTGCACAAATTCTTAAACCTGGTTGCCACAGAAATCTCAAACTGTCTGTGCATGTACTTCTACTTCTTTACCTCTAACATTCTGAACTTCTGTTTACTAAAAGCCACTCAGAATAACATGACATCTAGGTTTTCACCATGACAGACAGGCAGATAAAGGACAGCGTGGAGAAACATGCCTCTTCCAGTAAAATTCCACTTTGCATGTGTGAGATTGCTCACAACAGCAAAAAAGTACTCAGAAGATGACAAGAACTGTCTGTTTCTTGACAGAACTTGTCTGCTACAACTTAATTTTGGTAGATTTTGGGGCTTTGTAGAAGATACATTTGCAGACAGGCCTTTTGTTAGCTTTGAGATCCATAAAAGGTTAAGAGCTCTATATCTGAATTTTAGCTTCCTAAGCAGGATTCTGGATCTCCCAGAAACACCAGTCATTCCCAGTGCTGTGAAGATGGGGGAAAGTGATTGAGTATTAAGAAAGATAAACTGTAATAATGTGGAAGACAATGGAGAGTGAGAGACATACAACTAGCCTACAATTCATTACATGAGCAAAACTGAAGTAGAAAAGCTGGTCATGTGACAGTCCAATCTTAGGTAAATCCTTCTCTTCTTTGTGCTTTTTCAGCCAATTCTTATAGGCCTGTGGAGAGAGAAAATAAATAAATCTTCATTCAGATAGTGTCCCAAAACCATTTCTTCTGCTGGTTAAATATATCAATCTAACATTTATTTATTAAATTAGCAATTTTGTATCTCTCTCTCCTCACTCTGAAGTTCCCTGCTGCTGGCCATGCCCCTAATCATCCTAAAATGGGAGAATAACAACATAGCTCCTTTGCATCCAATTTCAGACACTACGTATCTTCATAAGGGAAGATGTGGTGACTGCACTATGAAAGAATGAAAATTGCTTTCAATGAAAGTCAGAAATATCTGAATAAAAATTAAAGGAATTTCTACCTCCCAGCATTCTTTGTGAAAGAATGTAACAAGGGCCATCTGAGACCTAGAGATCTCAGAGCACCCTACACTCAGTAATTAATTAAACTGCTAAATTACTGCATGAGGAAATAAATAAATTCTCTCCAGACTAAACTCTTGCTGAAAACATTATTATGGTGTCATTTTACCATCCCACAAAATTCTGGTTCATGCCTCAACTTCGTTCCTCAGGTATAACATAAACATATAAATAATGTGCTTTTGTGTGCATGAGATAAATGGGGAAGTAAAGCAAGGCCCAGCTTAGAGCTGGCGAGGGAGAGGAGTGATCTCAGGTGGGAGCTGTGAGACTGTGAGCAAGGCTTTGGGAAGAACCTGTGTCTGGAGGAGCAGAGGTAACAGGACAGTGCTGCAGGTCCTGGCCTGCAGGGGACCTGGGGCTGAGGCAGTGGAGAGGGCTGCAGCAGGGTGATCCTGTGGCAGGGTGGTCGTGTGGGGGGCCTGGGGGGTCAGAGGAGTGTGCAGGCCACAGTACCTGGTGGGCCAGGGCGAGCCCGTCGCTGTCAGCCATGGTCTCCAGCAGCGCCCAAGTGCCGTTGGCCTTAGAGCCAGAGCTCTCATACTGCTGGACCAAGCAGCCTATAGACTCCTCCAGTGCACTTCTGTTGCATGTGGGACAGCCCCCAGGCAGCACTGTGGGGAAAAAAAGGTAACCTAGGAAGTAAAGGTACTTCTGGCATTCACCTCTACTCCTTACAGTCATCACCGAGTCTTCCTAGGAGTCAGCACAGGCTGGAATGGGTTTCCTTAGCTTCATCTACCTTCATAATGTATCTGTGCATTGATGGAGGGACCATGATTTAAGTTCCCCCGAGGGAAAACACCAGTGGGGACCTAGAAGAGTAAAAAAAGGCACCACAGCCAGTACTCACCATAATCATAGAATGCATGCAGAAGTTCATGTGCCATGAAGACCCCAATGGCTCCAAAGTTCACAGCACTGAAAAATGAACATGAAAAGATTGCTTTTGAAAAGAAAAAAGAGGGCAGATAAGCATTCTTTATAGTCACTGAGCACAACTGTGAGCTGCACAGGAGCATTCTACTCCAAGAGCACACAGAAGCACTTTCCACTTTCTGCCTCTCAGATGTGGTGTATGCTCTGTGAAAATGCAAATGCAAGTGCAAATTTTAAGCATCTACCAATGCTTAAAAGTGTACTAGGGGCTTGCATTAAAGTAGCAGTAGCTAGTAAGCCACCATAATAATGAAGAGTCTGTGAATGAGGCTCTACCTTGATTAACTCATGACATGCATTCTTGCCATGCTGGCAATATGTCCTTATTTGCTCACTCCCAGCTGAACTGCTGCACAAACAGTGAACTTGAGTGGTAATCACACAAAGGCAGGATGGTTGGGAAGCAATACTGCAACAATTGTCTAGGGAAAAATTATACACAAAGCTGGCAAGGCAAATTAACATCATGAAGGCCTGACTGCAGTTACTCTGGTCTTGCATTGGTGGTCTCGCCACAGGCAAGGGGTTGTATCAGAGACCTCCAGCAGTTCCCTTCAGTCAGAATTTATGTGATTCTATGCAAGTAAGACTACACTTAAAATGCATTTCTGTAATATGCAACTATGGGCTCGTTTTTTTCTTTACAAGCACTGCTTAATGCTGTTGAAGTATGAAATGATTGCAGTAGATCATTATTACATCACTGGAAATTCAGTAGGAAGCAGCAAGAACAGAACTCATCTTCTCTTAGAAGTGCTCTTTCAGAAGCTCTGTAGCTGACAACTTATAATTGTTGCCCAGAGAAGTTCTGGATGCCTCATTGTTGGAAGTGGTCACAGTCAGGTGAGATGGGGCTTTGAGCAACCTGATCTAGTGAATGATGTCCCTACCCATGGCAGGGCACTTGGACTAGATATCTTTAAAGGTCCCTTCCAACCCAGATCATTCTGTGATTCTGTCATTCTACAATAATTGCACTGTTTTGCTGATGACTTGTTACCCTCACAGTCATCTGAATTGGCTTGGATCAGTAACATATAAACTTTGGAGCATCCTCTGGGAAAATGCTCTAGTACCAACTCTCCAAAAGCCATCAAGTTTGATTTCTGAGTCTACTCAACTGGAACGAGAGTGAGAGAAATATATTTTACTAGCCCTGAAAACAAAAGGAATAAGGAGCTGTAAACACTTTTTTAGACAGGACAAATATGGTGACAGCCCATACCACCAGAAAAAAAGGTGGGGCTTTTTCTATTCTACTTCTGAGTTGTCCTGTTAACAAATCTGTTCTATATGATAAAAGAACCCAAGTACAAGGTCTACAGAAGTGTCATTGTTGCAGGGGAAGACTCAGAATTTAAAATGTGCTTGTTTGTTAGAGAAGATTTCATTTTAAAGGGGAAGAACTGTGTTTGATCCATTTGAAAAATACTTCTGACAAGAAGTTGTGAGGCTTCTGATTTTGCTGGGTTAGATTTCAGGAATTCTTGGAATCTAGAAAATGAGAGGCAAGGGTGAAATGTCTTCTTTGCAGTTAACCTACATGAGACTTGTGCCTCTTTGTGCTGAAGTAATGTACTTGGCTTAGCTTAGTTTCACCTAGATGCTGATTTTGCTCCATTAGAGCCCATGATCACAAGCTTTCAGGATTCCTGAGCAGTATCCACCTGGCTTTAGAAAAAGCTGTTTTTCCCCACTTTACTGTGTCTTTCTGGGATGCAGTATGAAAGCAGTTAAAGACAGAACCACTTAGAATTTTTCTGGAAGTATGGTGAAGCCAAGGGTCTACACTCAGCTTCCACTTTCGGGTGGGAGCTTCCACTTCCCCCCTCCATACCTGGGAAACTCCACGTGGAAAAAGGGGCTGCGGAACATTCCAGCAGGAAAGACCACCACGTGCTGCCTTATTGAGTAGTATGAATGCACACTCCAGGGGGACACATGCCAGCTAGAGGCAGAAGGAGAAAGGAGAGAATGTATTAACTTGTTGTCTCACACCTCCACTGGGCCTGCAAAATGGTCTGCTCAGCACAACTGTTCCTACAGCAGCAGGAAACAATGACATTCCCATTGTCCAGAGTTCAAGGTGGTTGAAATAAACCTCGTTTACAAACGGTCAGAGCTAGTAGGTAGCTTAGCTGTACACACATTAAGGGATTCACCTTCACATCTTCCCTGCCAAGTCCATCAGGATTAGTAACCTCCTGGGAAATCCTGCACAGAATACTTCTCAGGCAGTGTAGGGTCCCAAGCCTGCCTGTCAATGCTGCCTGCCTTCTGAAGCACCCTATGTCCTGCCCTTGGGGTGACCCTCCCAGCATTCCCCCACCACAGTGCTTGGCTGTGAGCCCAGCAGAAGCAGCTATCCCTCTCATTCAAGGGTTGATGGGCAAAAAAGTTTCTTCTTTCAGGGGTCTGGGGCTCCCTCCACACTGATGGGTTTTTTTCATAGCATGGGCTGAATACAAGCCAGACTGACAGATTTGAGGCTTTGTCAAGCAGGATGCAGTGGTGCAGCCTTGCAGCAAAGGAGGACAACAGCATCTTGCCTTGCACTAGGAGAAGTGTTGCTGGCAGATCGAGAGAGGTGATGATGCCCTGCTCAGGGACATAGCAGGGACTGCTGAAACCACACCTGGAAGGACTGCTGTCCAGTTCTGCCTCCTCGCCCTTGCCTGTCCCCTCCTCCCATTTTTCCCCAGTAAAAGAGAGATACAGACATCCAATTCAACACAGACCTGAGTGACCTGCTCTAGCTGATGCTGCTTTGAGCAAGAAAGTGGGACTAGGTGATCTCCACAGGTCCCTTCCAACCTCAGTTAACCATTGGGGGTATGATTCTGTTATATTTTTCAGATCAGTATCTGACACTTACATCTCCTGTGAGTGATGCTGAAGGAGTTTCAAGTAGGAATTTTCCCTCAGTACTTTCAAGCAAGCCACCACATTGAGGAGAAACGTGCCTTCATTTATCTCCAGCTGGGGGAAGAGACAGGTAATGTGACTGTCACAGGGCACAAGCAAGGAATGAATCTGACAGTATGAGAAAGAGGACAGTCCCACAGGTCAAAACAGGGTGCATCAAAAGACAAACCAATGGAATACTTGTGGGTTTTTTTCTCTCCTAGTTCTAAAGGCCTTCAGTTTAAGATACGACAGGAATGTTATTTGCAGGCCAAACAGAAAACGTGAGCAGGTCACAGCTTAGCCACTCTAAACAGGAGACAGCACAGGCAACAACACAGAAGCAGTAGATGATGCCTGCTGGACCTCTGTGTCCTCAGGAGATGAGCAGTAGGAAATATGCATTGCTCTGGAAGGCATAGCCTCTTTCAGTAGCAGTTAAGACAGCAGTTGCCACAGGTGACCTGCCAATACTGAGGCAGGCATGGTTACATTATATAGCTCACCTTCTGGTATTCCAGGTTCACTTTGGCAGGCTGGAGTATGTGAGCTGGATAGCCAATCTCTACGTGGAGTTTGGAAACCTAAAATAAGAATCAAACAAACAGGACAATGACCAATAAGAGGCTTTTTAGAAGTCCTTTTTAAACTCCATTCCTAAACAACCTAAGTATAATCTGTGAATCAGCCCTTGAAAATTACAGCTACTCTGCTCCAACCAGACACCTCTTCTTGCCATTCTGTTTTCTTAACACAATGACCTGAGGCACAATACTATTCTGCTCTCCTTTTTCTTTGTAGCATTGCTCTCTGGCATTCAACTTTATAGTTTTTAACCTCTCTAGGTGTATAGAATTGAATTCCAACTGTATCTCAATACAATCAACTCAGAGTAGCCAGGAACAAACACTGAGCCTTTCTATGCCTGCATGTGAAAGCACAATCCCACGTGTGGCATCGTACCACTTACAAAACCAGCTACAATTTTCAGTGTGTTGAAGACATCTATCTAAGGTGGTGTGCCTGCAGGAAGAGGTGAGACTATGTGAAAGTGCTTCCCCTCCTGCTCCTTCTCCAGAGGAGGGGAGGCCTCAGTGCCTGCTGCCTGCTGCACGCACCAAGGCTTTAGCCTGCTGTTGAGTCTGCTGGTCCATCCACTCCAGCCGAGCCAGCCGCTCACAGAGGGTGTCCTGGATCTCAGAGAACATCCGCTCGGCCTGCAAGGAGGAAAGAGGGCAGGGTGCCTGGCCAGCCACTGCGCCCAGCAGGGAGACAAGCCACCACCTGGGCTGTACTGCCTACAGAAAAGACAGCCCGTGAACAGGCGCCGGGGTACGAGTCAGTCACTCAGCTCCCAGGCAACCCCCAACGCTCCCGACAATGACCCCGCACACCCGACAACAGGCGGAACAACCACGGAACCGAGGCTGCCCTGGCTGGGGGGAGACACTCCAGATGGAAGAGGAGGCTTCCCTTTCTACAAACACTCAGGCTTCACTTATTTGGCATTCAGTGGCTCCTCACAGGAGCCACTCTCTCACAGGCTCACCATGCTCTCCCACACACCTTCTCATCTTGCTTCTCATGGTAACTAAGAAAGAAAACATTTCATTCAGTCCCTGTTGGGATAGAAATGGACCAAATTATTGCCCCACTTCTTGAGTGAAATGAAAATTCAGTATCCACAAATATGTCATTCTGGTGTCTCTGTTTCCAAAGTTAAGGCAGTCTAAGTCACTTCTTCACAAAAATACGTTCTATTCATTCAGCTTTGTGCTTCACTATAGTGTCTCAGTTTTCCTGTTCACTTTTCTTGGGGTTATTTACTTTTGTCACTTCATTCACTGCAAACTAAAACCTGGTGCCAACACTAACTTCCCTCAAAAGAAAAAAGGAACTCTGCTCATCAAAGAAAAAAAAGAAATCTTTTCCATACTGCAGGAAGAGGTTCCTTTTACTGTGGATCACTCAGAATGTTTGGGCACTGATTTGTTTCTGTACAACTGGTCATATGATGGCTTGATGGCTTAATGGCTTTGCATTTAAAAATCTTATTTAAAGATGTCAGATTGGTGATGAATACTGCTAATTCCAGGACGCACACTGAGATTTACACTATGACATTTGCAGGGCTGTCATAGGTATTGGTGCTGCACACATGACTTTGCTAACAGTTGAGATCAAGATAATAACTGGTATTTTTGTATTAACTGTTCTAGCAGTGACAGCAATGTTGTCTTCTGACATCTTCCCTTCCCAAAAAAGGAGGAAAAGTACATAAGTACAAGAGGAATATGTGAAAAGGTATAAAACCTACACATGATTTTGCTGCCTTGATGTGGTCTTAAAATGGCATGTCAAAAAAAAATAAAGAGCTGAAGCTGAACTCTGCCTGGGGGCTGAGGGGGTGAATACCTACAAGTTTCTTGGACTGCGGAGGGAAAATTTCTTGCACAATCATCTGCCCTAGAACTGGCTCAAAGAAAGTGCTGGTATCAGTCAAGCACTTCCTCCAGTGCTCAGCTGGGATCTGTAAGAACAGAGAGAAACAGAGACATGAGAATGAGGACAAAAAGATAGGGAGACATGTGTAAACGTGCAGTCAGTGGCATATACACTGCAACCCAAAAATGGCACCAGTGGATGGTGAGAAATGTAGTTCCAGTGCAGCTACCTCAGAAAACTTTGATCAGGTAAAAGAGATGCCCTCCCCCACTTCCATTCACACACGATGAATATTCACACGCTAGCTGAGACAAACACAGGTGAGCACCCACATGCTGAGCCCTGCCCCGGGCTGCAGTGCACTCAGCCCTGTGAAGCCTCCTGTGGCAGCTCTGCTCTCACATTTCCTCAAGAAAAAGGAAGCCTTTAATGGCCTAGGGAGAGCAGCTTTCCTCCCGAAATCTAGGAAACTCCATCCAGATAGGGCACCAAGAGAACATGCAGAAGGCATGTCCTGGAGTGCTCAGCTGCTGAGGAGGCTGAAGATGGTTAAAGGCTAACTCACCATTCCAGATCCCATTTTCCCATAAAGGATCTTAGATAGCTCCAGGCGTGCATCTTGGAATCGACTGTCAAGGGCTGGGGAAAGATTCCCAACCAGACAAACAATCATATAGATGTGAAGGACCCTGGAGGAAAAGGACATTTAAGAAGTCTGCAGACTGAAGGCTGGTCAGTGTAAGGTCAGAGGTGTGCCAAGTGTCAGAGGAGCAATCTGAGGCAGAGGCACCCCAGAAATCTGAACAATGAGAACAAAGGGCTCTGAATGGGCTGCACCCGGGGCTGTCAAGGGAAGCTGATGTGACCTGATTCAACAAAGAAACTCCTCAGAACACCATGAAGACTCGGGGTGAAACCGTGTCCTGGGGCACAGGGTTCTTTATGGGTAGTGTTTTTAGGACTGGGTGGAACTTACTCCAGAATATTTTGAGGGGACTGAAGAGACCAGTGGGTTACACCAGCTACCGGAGAGATCTGCTTGTACTTGTGTGTTTGTTAACAGAGAGAGACCAGAGTACCAGCAACCAGAGTAGGACCCCAGTACTCAGGGGTTCACACAGCCAAGCACCAGCAGCTGTGGACACCAGAGAATCTGGGACCAGCTTCTGGACAAACTGAATATCTAGGATCAGCTGTTGGAGTGATCCATATTGTGTGTACACATACATAGAGCACAGACCAATCCTGCTCTGCTGGAGAGGAGCAATAGGATCAGGCTGTCTGAGCTGTACACACGTGCAGGAGTGCTGCAGGTGGGTGGGTGCCAGCAGAGGCATTGTGTTCTGTCCCTGCTGACCTGTCTGATACATAGATCTATATTTACATGCGTGTAGGTACATGATGTGTGCCTCTGCAAGCCTGTTGGGAACATATGCTGAGCCTTAGCACTTGTTAAACCTGTCAATACAGAGCCACAGCAGCCTCCAACACAGACCTCTTTATGTTATCTGAGTTAATATTTCCTGAGGCATGAACAACCACAGCTGTAGACATTGACTCCTACCTTTCCTTCTGCCACTGGCTGATGAGCTGTGACATGCGTTGTAGATAATCCATGTCATGCACTGCCACTGCCTGGGAGAGGTTCATGGGCACAGGATGGAAGACAGCCTGGAGGCATGACAACCAGTCAATGGCAGGGGCCTTCTCCTAGGAGCAGAACAGAGCTTACAAGCTGAACCAGGCATCTAAATGGGCTGACTAGAAATAACAGGGAAAGTGGGATAGTGCCTCTAATACTGTTCAGAGGTACTTTCAACAAGTTAAGCTGTCTGCATGATGTGGGTATTGACTATAGCAGAAAAAGAGAAATCACTTTAAAAAAAAAAAAAATTAGCACTGGGGAGGGGAGAGGGATGCCCAAAATCCAAATGCTGCCAAGAAAAGATGGTAAATTAATAGATTATTTAAAGTTCAACAGATCCCAAGTGTAAGTTGTAAGGGAATGGCATCTAAACAGTGTCCCATATCTCATTTGATCTGGATCTTCAGAACGTGAATGTCACATGTAGTTGTGTTGCTCAAGTTCTAAGGCACAGATACCTGTAGCTCCCTGATGGTAGTGTGAAAGAACAGCATCCCCCTCTGCTGCCTTTCCTGCAGTGGGGTGACAGCTTGCTGGAGGTTGGAGATGAAGGACAAGGTAAGGGAAAAGGAATCAGAGGCACCATCCTCTGGCCCTCCAAGCAGGCTCCCCAGTTTCTTCAAATATGATAAATAGACACGGACAACCTGCAATACAGAGCATATGACCAGTGGGAGAAAATTAATCACTCCATCCATCCATCCATGCATCCATCCTGACCATATAAGCTTCAATCTTTCAAAAGACTCCAGCCCTGTCCCTAAAACTGTCATCTTCACTGCAACATCATTAAGTAATTCTTCATGGGGCATACACTTTGCCAAACACAGCTCCTTTCTCAGTGAAGAACACTGGATTCCCAAAGGGTTATTTTTGTCCCAGCTAACAATTACATTAAATACTGGAATCGTTTTAGAGATGTAAGCCTTCCATCTCTGGAGCCAAAGGAGAGAGACGTAGTGATATAATGAGGCAGTATTTTTGATGGAGAGAACCTTGCCAGGTTCATGAGGTATGGTAGGAACACTTGTGATGGGTAGATGGACTTGGTTTTTTGAGGACTCTTCTGAAAGAGTCAGACTGAGAAACTGAAATCAACTCAATTTTTATAAAGTTCAGAAAAATGACAGTGCTGTGATGGTTAACTTCATTGCAGTAACTCCCCAGACAAAGAGCTTGTTTCCCAGCTTAGGTTAAAATATTTTCAATAGCTACCACTCTCCCAATACACAGATTTATACACAGTTATAAAGCCTCACTTTGGACAAAACCATTTTTTAAGAAACATTCATTCATGGTGAAACCCAAAGGGAAGCCCAGGTTCATGTTACTTAGCAAACAGAAATTGAAACTATAACATTCTGTTTCTACACTAGAAGATTTAGACTTGGCATTTAAAATGGGTTACATTTTACAAACTATTCTTTTGGAAACTAGAGAGGTTTGTAAAGAATTCCTTCTGGAGACATTTTTAGGGGTCACTGACCGTAATCCATGGAAACAGACCACTGTACCAGGAGGCAGTTCAAGGAGATCCCTACACCAAAGAGCTATTTTTAGCTTTCTTCAGCCTCTGTTATGTTACCTCAGGATAATTTTTCCCTTTGAATTTACTCTTAGGTGGCATCTCAAACTCAGGATGGTCAATCTGCAAAAAAGGAGTAAAGGAAAAACATCTTGCTGTTTCCAGAAACACTGGAAAAGGGAGGGTATGCTCAGGGGCTTTGCTAATTTCTGTGTCACAGAGTTTGAAATGTTAATAAATTGCTTTTACTTTTGGAAAATGTTCACTAAGTAATTTTTGCAGAGCTATCACATTCTGCAGCTTGGTTACAAGCTCTTTACAAGTCTGTGGTAACAGATACTCAAATGTAAACTACATCATTAAGTGTTTTTACACAGGGCACTGGTTTGGCTGGGATAGAGTTAAATTTCTCCATAGTAGCTTGTATGGGGCTACGTTTTGGATTTGTGATGCAAAAAAATGTTGAAAACACAAGGATGTTTTTTAGTTACAGTTGAGCTGTGCTTAAATCAAAGGCTTCCCTGCTTCTCACAGCACCCTGCCAGCAGGCAGGCTGGGGGTGCACAGAGGGCTGGGAGGGACACGGCCAGGACAGGTGACCCCAGCTGAGCACAGGGAAACTCCACACTATGTGACATCACACTCCACAGCAGACGAGGGGGTGAAGGAGCTTGGCCAGTTCCACTGTTTGAGATCTGGCTGGGCAGTGGTTTGGTGGTGGTCAGCACCTGGGGGGACATTGAATCACTTCTTTTCTTTCTGTATCTTTCTTTTCCCTTTTTTTTTTAAAAAAAAAAAACAAATTACGTCTTTTTCTCAGCCCATGAGTTTCCACACTTTTACTTTTCTGATTTTCTCCACCATCCCACTAGGTATGTGAGTGAAGGAGTAGCTGTGTGGTGCTCAGCTGCCTACCAGGTTTAACCCACAGCAGCCAGCTGCCCAATTCACAGTGCCCTGTGTGTACCAGGCTCTGCACTGAGTCCATTTCTGCATTGGGCACACCCTGCACACAGACCCAGACCCTCCCACGGGACCCAACCTACTCCCTCAGGCAGAGGAGAGGAGGGAAAGGCAGCAAAGTACTCCTCCTCATCTGCTCATTTCCCAGAACTAAGTGCTGTCATGTAACACAGTCTACTCTAATGTAACCTAATGAAATACAACAAGGGCAGGTGTAGAGTCTTGTACCTGGGAAAGAATAACCTCATGGACCAGTATGGGCTGGGGACTGACCTGCTGGAGAGTAGCACAGGGCCTGGGGGTCCTGGTGGACAGCAGGGAGACCATGAGCCAGCAGTGTGCCCTCGTGGCCAAGGCCAATGGCATCCTGGGGTGTGTTAGAAGGGTATGGCTAGGAGGTGGAGAGAGGTTCTCCTCCCTCTCTGCTCTGCCCTGGTGAGAAGGCATCTGGAATACTGTGTTCAGTTCTGGGCCCCTCAGTTCAAAAAGGACAAGGAAAGAGTCCAGCACAGGGCCACAAAGATGATGAAGGGGGTGGAGCATCTCCCTTATGATGAGAGGCTGAGGGAGCTGGGTCTCTTTAGCTTGGAGAAGGGGAGACTGAAGGGTGACCTCATTTATGTTTATAAATATGTATGTTAGGAAGTTTGAGCCAGGCTCTTCTCTGTGATGTTCAACAACAGGACAAGGGGCAGTGGGTGCAAGCTGGCACATAAGAGGTTCTGCAGAAATATAAGGGAAAAACTTTTTCACTGTGTGGGTGACAGAGCTCTGGAGCAGGCTGCCCAGGAGGGCTGTGGAGTCTCCTTCTCCAGAGACATTTAAAACCCGCCTGGACGTGTCCCTATGTGACCTGCTTTAGGTGCTCCTGCTCTGGCAGGGGGCTGGACTAGATGATCTTTTGAGGTCCCTTCCAACTCTTAACATTCTGTGATTCTGTGAAAATCAAGAAGTTTACTGAAATTTTGGAAAACTTTCTTCAAAGAAGAACATAGGCCTCATTTGAGCCAGCCTGGGTTTCACGGGCTGCGTAACTGACTCTTTTATTCCTAGTGCTCCATGGTAATTTTCTTTTAATCCACTCACCTGAATAATATTGGTCTTGAGGTCAAAAGGACTAGGTCCCACAGAGACTCTGAAAAAGGGAAAGGTGCTGTATTTGCCCATGAGAGTCCGAAGAGTTTCATTGAAATCTTTTTCTTTCCCCACACCTGTGATATTCCATCCACCAACCTAGAGAGGGAGACAGCCGGCGTGACAGCAGGTGAGCAAAGTACCTGTCTGATCATCTTTACACAATCATTTTTTATTCCTGTAAGATCATTCATATGACAACTGAGAAACAACAAAGCAAACGGCAACAGGGGAAATGAAGATTTCTACATACATGGTTTGCTTTAAAATGACCTGTCACTTTCACTTAAGCAAAGCAATAAACTGCAAAAGGACAAAAGGAAAAAGAATTATAACTATCAACAGAACAAGATATACAGGAAAAAAGCAGAAGAAGGAGAGAGGAAAGAGAGCTCATTTTTCTAAAGGCATCCAAAAAGACAACCAGGAATCAGGGATTACAGGTCCCACCTCCCTGACAAGCTGATTCACAGGTGGGCCTACAGTGACTGTTCCTTCTGCTGGAAGGTTCTGCATCATCCTTGGAGACAGGGCATAAGTGGCCTTAGCTGGCAGGAAGATGGACAACCCTCCATGGCACTAGAGAAGAGTCTCTCAGAATAGAAAGAATTTTCTTCTTTAAAGAAGCTCTCCTGAAGCCTGCAGTAGTGGATGGCCATCACATCTTAGGCACAAAAATTCCACCTGTTTGCAAGATGTTCCCTGATCTGTAACCTGGATCCCACTGAACTGAGCTTCTGAGATTAAAAGTGAACTCTCCTTACAGTCTTGGTTGTTGTATGGTCCCAAAGTAATATGTAAGGTCATGATTCAGGTACCTGATGTCAGAAAATAAAATCTTGAAACAGCATTTAAAGCTAGAAGATGTAGCACTTAGAAATTGTGCTGTGAATCTTTAGCTTATTTCATAGCCAGATGCTAGCAAAATTCCATCACATGTGACCATATGACCCTAACTTCACACTTTCCTTTTCCCTTCAGTAATTATCTTCTGGAGGGAGAAAAATAGCACAAACATTCACCTGATTTAGGACATCCTTCAGTGGTTGAGCACCTTGGGATTCTATCTGTTGGGTGTCCATGCAGGAGCGATAGAACCGGACAGCCTTCTCCTTAGCTGAGCCTCTTCCCCCAAACTGTGGGCCCTCTGAGGGAAAAAAAAATAATTAAAAACTACAAAAGTGATTAAAAAACAGTTGGAGCAGTATTACAGCAGAGAAAGTGTGTAACAGAACATGACACTGCACCTTGACTCAGAACAATTTAACAAACACTCCCACACTTCCCACAGTCACACCGAGCAAGAGGCCTCCTAGTGCCAGGACTTCCCCTGAGCCCAGCAGCACCCCAGGCAGCTGGAGAGCATCTCAGCTTCAGTCCCACATGGAACCAGAGTGTGCACTCAGACAGGCTCAGGAAAAGAGGGTCTGCTCTCACAAGACAGCAGGAAAATGGTTTGGGTTGTCAGAATTTCAAAGTGTGACTTTTGTCTGTTACACTTGGCATGGGGAACTAAAATCTTTAAACTACAGCTATGGTAATACACCATGCTCCACAATAAACCTGTACCTGCAACGACAGAAGGAAGAGACTGACTCTGCCCCTGTTAGGAACGACTGTGCTCCCAGCTGTTACTATTCTCAGCTCTGACTGAGGAAGATGCTGAGGGCAATACACCACTCAGCTGTCCCTACCTAAAAGCCTTTTCAGGATCAGCAGGTTTTCTTCCAACAGCACATCAAACACATTTAGTGATTCTTCTGTGGTCCTGTTTGAGTGTTTGCCTTCCCAGCTGCCACAGGCATATTTGTAGAAATCCTCACAGGGGTCTACGGTGTCATTCCTAGAACTCAGGAGTCTGGCCAACAGTGTGAGAGGCAGCTTGGCATCACAGGATCCTGGGCAGGAGGTAAATAGGAGAAAACTGAGCAGTGAGGGGAGGGAGGGAGAACAACTCCAAACAAATAAACAAACAAAACCCACAAACAAACAAAAACCCAACAACACTCCCCCAAAAACCCAAACCAAAACAACAACAACAAAAAACCCACAACCCAAAAAAATGGGGGTTATCTGTGGGACATTTCCTCTGAAAGGTCTGGGTTTGGTACCAACTCCTTTGCACGCAGAGTATTGAATTCCTTGTAAGTTTTTCTGAATGTGGAATAAAGGAAGATTGCCTTTGCACTTTACAAGGGACATTCTTCAAATAAAGGACAGATAATCAGTGCAGAGGTGGTGCCCTCTGTTCATACTATCTAGGCAGTTACAGACTGGATTATTCCAATGTTGGATTATTCAGCAAATTTTCTCTGAATCAGCCAAATTTCACCAAATGATAAACAAGAAGCAACTGATGATGTCAACACACAAAGCAAAAGGACATAGCACGAAGAAAGTAAGGAGGTAAGTTTAAAATGTGGAGGGAGATTTTCAAGAATGGGAAACATTTCTGAGCAATGACTTGTTAAAATAAAACAAACACTTTCTAGTACATCTTGCTTTAATCTAAAACTCCTTTTATCTAAACTGCTGCAAATCACTGAATATGTGTTGTCACTTTGGTTCTCATGATCTCTTGTACCAACATGAGATCAGATCAATTATTTACTGAAACAAGCCACTTGTACATCAAAGTAAGACTTTCCATGCCCTGGTTTTAACAGGTGACACATGTAGGCAGAATGGAACTAGACAAGATCTAAACCAACAGTTTTTCCTTGGACTCTGTAGTGAACCATCTTCAACACATTAACAAGTGCTAAAGAAAAGTGCTAGGTGAGGAGTCAATAGTGTTTATTTTGGAGCAGGTATGTCTGTACCCAATAAAATGCACCTTCAGTGCTGAGCATTCTAAATGCATGAACATTTACATGGGCCATTCTGCAGACCCTTGTTTAGCAAAGTGGAAAGGGAAATGAATATTTCTGGGCCATGCTCACAGCTCCCCCATTTGCAAGAGATCATAACTTTTCTTTCTACACTAGAACTGCACTGGTCTGTGCTAGAAAACTAGGACTAGACTTATTAAGTCAGAGATTGAAAGGTAGAGGAGGAGCTCCAAACCTCAGGTTCCAGTTTCCTGGAGGTGACTCCAGAGTATGACAACAGCATGAGACACAAGATAATACAATGATGCTCTCCCTCAGAAGCAGGCCCATGCATTTTAAACAGCAGGCAGAGGAAGACAGGCGTGGGGATCTCTCCCCACTATGACCCAGGGAAAAGAAAATACAGTGTATCTGTTTTTACAAAATTATTCTTATGTTATTCTCTAAGATTCTGAAAGTCTGCTTCTTAACATAGATGCTATGCCTAATACACAATGGAGGTAGATAAGGGAAAAGGGGTCTTACAAATGGGGTGGGTGAGGAAGCAAGGAAAAGGATATTCCATATTATACCTAAGCCACAAGGCATCACCATGTGGGTGATAAGCAGTGTGAAGCCAAGGAGAGTACTGAGAAGAAGTGCACACAGAAGGAGGCTCCTCCCTTGAAGGCATCGATGCTGACTTGTGCCTGTTCTCTGTTCATGGTCACAGGCCTGAAGAGACAAAAGTGAGACAAACAGAAAAAATTAAGAAAGAAAACATTCATAGTAAAGGTAGCACTGGTCATATACTTCATCTTCCAGCTAGTCTAGAAAATCACCCCCAGTACTAGTGCCAGAAAACATAGATCAAAATTTCCAAGAAATGAAGCAAATTCCTACAAGAATTAAGTAGTTCACAGCATATACCCTTCACCCAAGGAAAGGCTCAGGAAAGGGGTGAGTTTGCTGTTGATCATCTTGCCTAATACACTATGTACAATTCCTGTACAAAAACATTGACAGAACAGAAAACACAGAAAGAAACAGAAAAACAGACCTTGCCATTGTATATCTTCCAAACGTGTATTTTGTTCAGTCCCTAACAGAAGCCTCTCCAAAGCCTGTGCCAGCTTACCTGACTTCAGGGCACGGGCTATGCACCAGCAACGTGCCCTCACAGCGAGCAGTCCAACTGTGCCCTGCCTGCAGCAAAAGAAGTGTGGCCAGCAGGTCGCTGGAGGTGATGGGTGATCCTCCCCCTCCAGCCTGCTCAGGTGAGGCTCACCTGGAGGACTGTGCCCAGCTCTGCAGCCCCCAGCACCAGACAGACATGAAGCTGCTTAGGCTGAGAGAGTTGGGGCTGTTCAGGCAGAAGAGGAAGAGGCTTCAGGGAGATCTGCAGTGGCCTGAAGCAGACTTTTGGTACTTAAAGGGGGCCTATAAGAAAGATGGGGACAGTCTTTTTAGCAGGGCCTGCTGTGATAAGACAAGGGTTAATGGTTTTAAACAAAAAAAGGGTAGATTTAGACTAGATGCAAGGAAGAAATTTTTTACAGTGAGGGTGGTGGAACAGTTTGCCCCGAGAGGTGGTAGATGCCCTTTCCCTGGAAACATCCAGGGTCAGGCTGGATGGGGCTGTGAGCAACCTGATCTAGTTAAAGATGTTGACGGTCAGTGCAGGGGTGTTAGACGAGATGAATTTTAAAGATCCCTTAAACCCAAAATATTCTATGATGTTTCTATGATTCTATACTCTGCAGGAAGCGGAAGCACTTTATTGTGGTGGGTTTTGAGGCTCACTTGCCTCATCCAGCATGCTCTATATCAAGAGTGATGTTAACAGTTTGAGAAACCTTTGATGTCTGACAAGAGCTTCTCCATGTGGGGTTCACTTATGAGTAAGTGAGAAGAATGATTAGCACTTGCATGAGGTTGAAGCTGAATGCAATTTCCAATACAGTTTCAGTTCTTTCATGCTTTACTTTTTAGAACGTGCAAGTGCTCAAATTTGAATGGCTTCACTGTAGCTAAGTGAGATCAAATGCCTGTAAAATCACTAAAAGCTGATGACATCTAACTGTCAAATATAAAATGAATAATTGTGAGCATGAGCTAGGCTACCAGAATTTGACAGCGTTGTCACTAAAGCAAGGACTGTCTGATGCAAGTAAAGAGTGCAGCCAAAGAATTGCATTTTCCTTCACCATTTCCTTCTTTCTGTTTCTGACCCACTCCTAACTTCTGCAGGAAGGCTGAAGCTCCTCTGCCTAATTCTTCCTCCCCTTGCATTTTCCTGGTGTTTAGTGCTGTTGCAGAAGAAGTATCATCTAACTTTTGTAAAAATAAATCAAAATAAAATGAAGAGATCAAAGTCAGGGAGAATTTGAGTAATTTTTTCATAACTATCTACCAGGCAAATTGGATGGATTATTTTTCAGACAGTAGATTACTCATGAGTTACTGACTTTGGCTGTTATGCAAATTTTGTGTATCACATTAGTCATGGGGATTATGTGTTTCCAGACTAATGCCCCAATACTCACAAAAACTTCAACATTTTCTTAAATTTATCTTTTGTCAGCAAATCACTTAAACACATAAACTATGCACATTAAAAGCTGTTTGAGAAATAATACTTTAGCCTGTGTTCAAAATATAGTACCTGCTAGCATGAGAAATTAAGCAAAGTTTGATGAATTTTGTTCTGGAACACTAGAAGTTTGAATCATAAACGTGGCCAATAACTATTTAAAATTATGATTGTTGCATGATCTTTATCACATAGAAATATGAGAATGGATACACAAACCAAACATTTCTGCAAATTCTTCTGCCAGAAAATTACAAACTAAAGTGATCGTTTGCATTGCAGCCACAACCCTTGTAACACGGGAAGCCCTCAACACAACATACATACACTTTTTTATCTATATTATTTAGTTACATAGAAAACTTTATGTATGTCTGTTGTCCTTGAATCTTTTGTACATTTCAGCAGCCACAAGCTAACATTTCAATTCAGAGCAATTTGTCTGTAAAAACACAACCGACACTTTACTAGTTATTTACATAATAGATCACATCAGGAAAAGGGCACTGCACTACATGGAAAGCAATCAGGCTTACCATGTCATTCTCAAATCCAGAAAATTATGCTATGTTTACCCACAACTAGTTGTGGGGGAAAAAAACTGCATGTTTCTGCATAAATACTTAAAATATTTTGTTTAAAATATGGGAATACAATAAAAGATGCAAGTAATCAGATGATTAGTAGTAGTAGTACTACTTATTGGTCAGTATTGCAAATGGATCTGAATACAGCCTTAGAGTGCCCATTAGGATGGCTAAGAGGAAGGACAAGAATCCCTAAATCCCCACACTATGTCCCACATCATTAATTCTGAGCCCTGGACAAGCTCTCTCTGGATACAAACTGTCAAAACCTCAACTGCTCCAGTTCCCGAGGGCAGCAAGCAGTGTAGCTGTGACAGGGGAAGAAAAAGAGCTGGGTGCAAGCAAGGTGCCTCTGCAGGCTGCAGGACAAGCCCGTTCCCATACCTCTGGAGTCCTCCTCATCCTGGTCCCCACGCTGGCTCTGCTCCCGCGGGGGGCACAGCTGTCCCCCGCTCCCCCGCCGGCTCCCGCCGCTGCGCTCAGGGCCAGCCTCTGCTTCCAGCCCGGCCGGCTGCTGCGGGCAGGAGAGAGGAGGGGAGAGAGTCTGAGAAAAATGCCCCTGAAGAAAACGGAGGGAGGGAAATGGGTGCATTTGTGCAGCTCTCCACCCACCTTCTCTCCCCAGCACCTCTGCTTCTCCTGAAACCGTGGGTCGTTCCCCTCTGCCCCCGCGTGTCCTTCTGTCTCCTGCAGCTGCACTGAAATCTTTTGGAAAAGAAGTATGTGATTCTTTATCTTCCCCAGACTCCTCTCGACTATTTGCTGCTACTTTTCTCCTCAGCAGCCTTACTATCCTGCCCACCCAACAAGCCTGTTTTGGCCTGATATTCTCCCTGCTACCAGCCTGTCCCAACCTGCTGCCCGGGGCCTGGAGGCCTCTCACCATGCAAGATAGTGCTCGTGAGGGATCCCGCGCTCCTCCTCCCACAGGGGGAAGCCCATGTACTGACTCTTTTTGCTCTCTCTCATCTAAAAGTCCAAAGAGTGAACACAAATTCACTTATGACTTTTTTCTTTTGCATTGAGAGGTGTAAAAGAACTAATTTGTTACTGATTCTGTTCACAGCTGTTGGTTTCCTCTCAGGTGGTGGCTGGTCCGTGTGTCGTGGCTTCCTTAAGGGTGCACATTGGAAAGCCTTGGTAGGGAAGTTTATCTGCTTTGAGGACTGGGCACTAGGATCAGTTCCCCAAGACAGCAAAAACGAAGTACTGGATGTTGAGAGCTGAGACCTTCCCAAGTGGCAGCTGGGAGCTGCGAGAGCTAATTCAGACTCTGCCCTTACATACTTTTTAAAGCAGTTTCTTGCATCTATCAGAGTAAAGACAGAGCACATTTGCATCTCGCAGCAATAATCCAGGGAAATATCTCTTACATTTTCCACATTACCCATTGGATATGGAAGCCTTCTGCAGGTTAGTGCTACAGGACAGTGTCATGCCTGTCTGTGCAGTTAAGCATTGAAGAAGGTTTACCTCAAAGGGAACTGTTTGATGGCAGTGTGCAGTCCAATGTCCTTATTGAACATACAGCTCATAGATCTTTGGGGATCTTGTGAGCTGAACACTTGAAGCATTCATGTATACAAGGATATGGTGCTGTTCACATGCAGTTGTTTTTTTGTTAGCACACAAGTTTTTTTGAAGACACCTTTATCAACTACCGAAAGCAAAGACAAAAAGTTTCCCCATAAACTTCTAACTACAGAAGCAGGAAGAGGGGCTGGGGAGTGTGCGTGGGGGAGACACCACAAGTAATCCTTATCAACTGATTCCCTTCTTATCTTGAAGGAGCAGATGACAGCTCTGCTCTCTGGAGCCCACAAATTAGTGAGAGGACCTCTGGCTTTTTTCTGTGACAGACTTTCTTCTCCCTGTACAGGGCATTAGCTTTTCCAAACGTAACACTGATCAGCTCATTGAAAAGAATAGTGTTGGACATGCCTTCAAAAAAGTTTAATGGCAATTATCTTGTAGATACCTCTTAGATTTAAATAGATGTAGGATTCAAAGTAATATGGAATTAAGTGCATTGATGTGTGTTTGACAGATGTTGGTGCAAGCATTCCTTATACGCTCAAGATGGTTAAAAATCTAGACAGATTTCAGAAAACTATTTTTGTAACATCTGTCCTGGAGTGAAATTGAATTGGGACCTTGATCTTCTACACTGAGTGAACAGTAAATTCCCTTGCAACAATTTGGTAGGGGGAAGTTTTATTTAACAGATTCATATTCCAGCTTTAACTTTCTAAAAACGTGTAATTTATACTGCATTTAGACTGCACAAAAAATTGCCAGATTTATATAATTCAATGAAAAAGAAAACAAAAACAAAACAAACAATAGAAAAACATGATGCAGCAATGTTTATGTCACTGGCCATCTAAAAACTTGTGTAGAAAGGTCATCACTTACACAGAGACTTTATTTAGTTTTAAAAATAATCTTGTCTAACTCAAGCTTTTCTCGCTCAGCTGGTCACTGATGGTACCACCAGTGACCTCTGTGATCCGTGGATCAAAGCAACATGAAAAAAATTCTCATCTATATGAAAGACTGTCTGTCAAAGGTTACTAATAGTTTTGGTAACCATCAAAAGCACAACTGAAAAAACCAACCAACCAACAAACAAACCAAACACCACAACATCAGAACACTGTAGCACTGCGAGGGCTTCTTGCTCCGCTGGAGAAGCTCAGGAGACTGGGGACAGGACAATCTGAGCTCATCATGTTTTCTGTTGTGACTGATGACAGATACATTCATTTTAAGCAGCCCAGAATTGGAGCTGCCAGCCAGGGATCTGGCAGTGTTCTAACTGTGCCATGGGTGACACAGAGAGACCCCTTCTATGGCAAAACCACTCTCAAAGACTCTTAGGCACAGATGTAGATGGGAACTTTTCTCTACCTTTTTTTTTTTTCCTGCCAAATACTTGCTCTCTCATCTACCTTCAGTCAATCAGGGTCACAGAATCATAGAGTCACATAATGGTTAGAGTTGGATGTGACCTTTTACAGCTCAGCTACTCCAACCACCCTGCCATGGTCAGGTGCATCTTTAGTTAAATCAGATTGCTTAAATCCCTGTCCAATGTGACCTTGAACAATTCCAGTGATGGGGCACCCAAAATTTTCCTTGGCAACCTGTTCTTCCAGCTCCTCTGGGCCACTTGTTCCGTGCCTTCACTCAGGAAAGAGGACAGGGAAGTCCCTGATAGGTCTAACCTCTCACCTCCGTCAGAAGACCTTGGGTTCAGCGGAGGCAGGAGGAAAGGGAAGAGCAAAGGCTGTACCCACAGAGCAGCTCAGCGTGCAGCACACTGGGCTGAACCTGGGCAAGGATGAGAGAAGTGGTGGGACAGCCCCACCTGCCTGGGTCCTTCAGGCTGAAGGTTCATCCACCCCTCCAAAAGGGAGAGGCACTCAGACCTGGAAGCCAAGAGGGTCGAATGGATGCAAGGTATGTGACCCAGGAAGCAGACAGGAAGGGCAGCCTTGATGGCAGAAGAGAAAAGGGTTCCAGCTAGGAAAGAAGGAAAGTCTGAGAATCAAGTGGGAGGGTGGAGAAGATTAGGCAAGAAAGCCAGGAGAAGGGAAAGAACTGAACGTAAGAATGGCAGAAGACACTGAAGCTGAAACTACAGAACACCCACCTTTATTTCTGGAGTTTCTCTGGACATAATCCTGCCCCCTCTATTAATGTCTTGTGCTCTTTTCCATGTTGCTCTAACATCTCATTTTCTTGCTTCATTGGGCAAGATCTGCAGGAATAAATAGGCTTAAGTAGAGTATCACTGCAGGCTATTGTTAATGATTCTGCAGTTTGTTACAGCTACTGTAGTAGTGAGAACCTGAATTTTTTTTTTCTATGCATCAGGTTAAAGATTTATATTGAAAAATATTTTTTGTAGTTGTGTATCTTTTTACACATTCAGTCATTAGCTGTGCAGCCATCCCAAAGCACCCGTGAGGCATTGTTTTCCAGTCAGGAAAGCAAGTCCCAGCCTCTGAAACTTTTACTTAAAGTGAAGGAGGGCAAGAAAGAATAAAACCATAATCCCTGAATAAGCAGCCCCACAGCCTGCTACTGAGGAGGCACACTAAGGCACAGGAAATGTCTGAGCCCAAAAGAACTGGCAGAACTGTGTACCAGCTCTGTTCTTGCTTCTTCACAATGTACCATCTTCCAACATACAGCCTAAAAAACCATTTCCATAGTTCTTCAAAATACTGGCTGCCTGCTTTGTCTTTACAGTTGCTTACAGTCTAATTTTAAGTGTTATTTTCTCTAAAATTCAGTTCTGTTTCTGAAAAATCAGTAGAACAAAAAATCCCTTTTCCTATTTGACATAATCAGAAGTGGTTAATTTAATGATCCAGAAGCCAGCTATGTCCTGTGCTGTACTGCATTAGCCCTGCAGATCCAACTGGGACAAGAGACAATCTTCTGTGAGATATAGAGTTGTGTGCTAATACCTACTGGGAGCAAACTCAGGCTAAGTTCTGAGCTTAGTGACAGGAAAACAGAACTAAGCCTCGCAACCTAAGTAAGAAAAGGACACTGCGTTATTGAAAAGTTTCACATGTGTGTCAATATTCCCTCCATATTTGAAAACAAGACTGTGTTTTTGAGAAAGTCACAGGTTTTGTGTCTTTTTAGCTTTTCCATCTCTAAGGAAAAAAAAAATCATTACACAAAAGTAAACTCTGCTTAGTTCTGTAATTTGTTTCATCAAGTTACAGCATGTTGTGAATTAGTGTGTTCTGCACCTCATATCCCCATTTACAGGCGTCTGATGTCTCTGTGGATTTTTCACAAAATATTCTTTCCAGGGGTCCTGGTTTTGGCTGGGATTGCATTAATTTCCTCCCTAGCCCCTGGTACAGTGCTGTGTTTTGGATTTAGTACAGGAATTACTGTTGTAACACAGGGACCTTTTAGTTGTTACCAAGTAGTGCTTATCCTAAGACAAGGACTTCTCAGTTTCCCATGCTCTCTCAAGTGAGGAGATGCACAAGAAGCTGGAGAGGCACCTGGCCAGGACAGCTGATCTGAACTAGCCAAGGGGATGTTCATACCATGTAACACCACAAGAACTGGGTGGAGCTGGGTGGGAGGGTCTGGCCACTGCTGGGGCATCGGTCAGCAGTCGGCGAGCGCTGAGCAACTGCTCTGTGCATCACTTGTCCTCTCTTGGGTTTGATGACTCTCTCTTTTTGTTATCTTCCTTTTTGTTACTTGGTATTACTTCTGTTACTAACATTTTAATATTTTATTATTAGTAATAGCAATTTTGTTTCAATTATTACATTTTTCTTAACCCACAACTTTTTTTTTTTCCTGACTCCCCTTCCTATCCCACGGGGGGCAGGGGGTGGGGGGACAGTGAGCAAGCAGCTGCATGGGCTTCGTTGCCAACTGGGGTTAAACCACAACACAAGGTTTCCTGACAACAGTGACTCTGAGAATTTTGAAAATAAGATAACTGTTGTAACTGCTGTTATCTGGTATAGAACATCTTTACTAATGGGTTAATCAGAACGCTTCTGAACTGTGCTGTGTGCCTGCTCCCCGACCACAGTGAGAACTCAGAGATGCCAGGGCTACAGATACTACAGATAACCACATATTCAGGAGAAGACTATACAAGTATTAACTTGAGAGACAGCATTTCCAGTCCCATGTATGGGCTTCAACATGCACCCCGAGGAGACTTCCCGTGAGTGGCAGTGCCTAGATGTGTTTCAGGGCTCTGTGTTGGGAAGCAGAAGCAGGCTGCTCTGCAAGGGAAGGTCAGGCAGCAACTGAAGTTCACAGCAACCCAGGCATGAGGCAGGGTCCTCACCAAGGGGTAAAGCCCAATAGCACCTGAACAAGAAAAGCAGAATAGGTCCAGTGACTGCAGCCAGGTTAAGTCTGCAGTCCAAGCATTCCAGACAAGACCATAATATGGTAGTAGGTTCAAGATTAAGCCATGAAGTTAAGTCATCGGATCAGGGTCAATATCAGCAAAGTTCATGGCCAGACCAAAGCTTGGCTGCTGTATAGCTCTAGCCCAGATCACAGGCAAGTGCTCCTGAGTGACACCTGAGCAAAGAATGGGCAGTGTCTGGCCAGACTTTCCAGATTTTCCTCATGCAGCTCTTTCCACAGAAGTGTGACGCAAGGTTACACTGCTGAAAGGTTACACAGACCTTGAACAGGCAG